CCAGTATAGGAATTCTCGATTTTAGCCGTTACGCTACAATTTAACTGTAAACATATTAGAAATAAATATGTAATTGTGGTGGTAATAAACTTTAATCGCAAATATCTTAAAAATTATTGAGTAGTTGCGGCTATAATGATATATTTTCTTAAACTGCATGACGATATCTACAAAACTGCAAAGTTTCAACTAAATCGGTGACCCGAAAGACTTGTACTCTCCTTGTAAGCCAAAGTGCACGCGTACTCGCGTAATATTCAAAGTCGACTACCATTCCTAAGACACCTTGTATATCTATAAAATCAGATTTGGAATTGAACGAATTACGAAATTTGGGAAAATTTAATAACTCGCAAGTGTAGAGCACAGAAATGAAATTATTAGACGTAAATAATACAGAAGCGGACTTATTAAAAATAAAATAGACGGGAATAAAATTATTCGTCATTTTCGTGCAAAAATATGAATTATTCGACAGTCAGTGGAAATGCAGTCGATAAGAGGTGTTAAACAAGATATTCGCTGTTTCATCGAAGAATTTAAATACAGAAATCTCCCGAAATTTCGGAACCATGGATGAAGTTCGAATTCTCAAGAATTAAAATTAATTCCAAGCTTCTCGTAAACCTCTCAGACTCCGCATCGATTCGATGACAAATGACTATGAGGCTTCGAGCGTGAAGCTTTTGTCAAATTTTGGGCAGTCGGTAGAGCAACGTGAGATTTTTATGCAAAAGATGCCTTGACAAATTTCCACTGCATCCGCAAGTTCGATTGAAGTCGTGACGATGAGACAGTGGCAATCGATAATGGACAACTTGAGCCACATTTTCTATCTCGTGCGGCTGATTATCCGTCAGGTTTCCATCTACTTACGGGTAAGATTGCGTGATTAACCTTCGTTGTAGAGGAACAACGAAGTTGGCATGTCAGTCAACCTGCGCGACAAGAAAAGCTTGCTAGAATTCGAAACTCACCGAGAAAAGTGTTCTTTCTTCAGGATCTGATTCTGTACAAGATCTTCTGGATGGCGGCGAACGATGAGTACAACACCTCAGACTCGAAACTTGGCGTAACCCTGAGAAACCTAACTACCGATATCCTGGCTTTTTGTGTCATCTGCATCGTTCTCTTCTTCCTTGTGCTCCTTGCGTCGAAATGCGAAAAAGATGAAACCCAGCTCTTTACATCTGCAGGAATAGAAACGTTAGTTCGTATAATTGATATTCGCATAATTGGTACAAAAAGAATAATTTTTCGAATTTTCATCGAAAATTTAAGTACTCGAGTCACTCAGTTAATTAAAAAAGAGAAAACCGGTCTGACAATTTGTCCAATGAAAATATACGGTGGGTAAAAATGCACGTTATTCATCTAACCAGAAAGCTTTGATTTTAATGAAAGTTTGTGTATATTTAGAGCATAATGAGTTCCATGGAGCAATATTTTTCGAGAATTTTTTCATGCTCTGATTATAATCTCCGGAATCTTTTTCACGATAGACGTGATAGAGTATTAAAAAATTAAACGTGTCTCTTGGAAAAAGTTTTGTTGGATCTTGTAAATACTATTACAGAGTTATATTTAAAAAGATAGAAAGAGCGCTGAAAATTCGATTGCTGTGATATTACGCGAGGAAAAAGATTTTTGCATGTATAATCAATTACGATATACGTACTCACAAATTTTCGTTCGAATTAAAAAATTCCTATTAGGATCCTCTAATTAGGTGAATTCTCTCATAGTATATTGTACCGATACTTCTTTTACCCACTGTAAATTTTTCTTAATTCGCTGTCGACGTAGTCAACTAACAGTTACTCTGAAAGAAGAAGAAAAATTCAACAAATCAGGATTTTTGATTCAATCGTCGCTAGTGACAGTCAATTCCACCGATGAAAACGATGAAAGCTCGAAATCAACAAAGTTTTCCATTTTTTAATTAAAATTCTTCCTGAATTTCCATAGAGTCACGGTCGACCTCGCGGAAGATCCTTTCTGCATTTCGAACACTAGTTCCAGTACGACGAACTGCATCCTCGCTTGCGGCGACTCGATTTACCCTCGCGGAAGAATTCGAAAGAGGAATTTTTCCGACGAGGATATGTCCAGGGTTCGCTCGTGCAGCAAGAAGAGAGTAGCCAGCATCCCGAAGAAGTCGATCTTCGGTCTAGCCGTGTCTCAGCCACAAAATTCTCAGGGCACCCAGACCACCGATAAAATATTCCAGAACACCACGCAGAAATGGCTGATCAGGCGAACGAGAAGCGGCAATATCTACGGGAAATATCCCATATAGCGAAATCGCATTAGATTAATAGTCGACGTCTATTCATCTCAGTCGTTTCGAGAATGCTAAGAAAGAAGAAAAAAATAAGAAACGAAAAGAAAATACAAAAGTTTCCACGGAAATTAGCATCAAAATGTAAGCAGAACTAATCGCAGAGATGGCTAACAGCGATGTTGCTGTTACGAGTCTCGTTTGTTTAACATTCCGGATAATTAACGACGATCTTAGATTGTCAGAGGTTTGCAGGTAATGAATCATTCGATCATTCCTCGAAAACAGAATTCGACTCGAGTCTTTGGGAAAACCATCGCGAGAACTGACGTGTGTCCATTATAAAAGGCATCAGAATTACTTTGCAACTTATTAATTATTATTCCTTTTGCTTGCTTTTTTCTTAATCTTTCTTTTTTTGTAGTCTATTTGAGATACGTCGATCGAGGGATTCATCTGCAGAAACATATCGATCGAGAATTTTAGAGTGGTTTTATTTTATGCAGATTCTAATTTTAACCACTAGTTTTTTCGATATTTTAAAGATGGTCGATAACGATTCTGATCGTTTACATGATTTTTATACATTTTATTCGTACGAAACTTTATTTCTATTCTTAAAATTCCATTTCTTTGTCGTTGTATTTGTTGCTTTTGTAGATCGTGGTGTTTGTATACTCAGTATTTGTTATACGGAATAAATACAATGTTGGTTTCCATGGCTGTCCGATTAATTTTATCTAGAATGAAATATTATTTCTCGTTAAACGTTTTATAGATAATGAAGTTACAAAATCTCGGGCTTATTACGCTTCTTATATTGATGGTCATAAAAACTAATATAATTTTAAGAAAGATCAACGTCGAATCGGTTTCGATAATCGATACATTATTCCAATTTTCAAAAAAGAAATAAAATTTGAGATTAAGTTACTTTCATCAAGTCATCGTTTACAGTTTCTCGCGTTTATTTAAAAATTAGAGACTAATAATTCCTCTGAAATTGCTTCGTGTCAATGATATCAAATTATCGTAAAATACGATTGCTCGTGAAAATATGCAACATGAAAATGATCAAGCCTGCGCTCATCGATCCACGACGAAACCATAGAAACAGCCAAGGTACACACGTCAAAACAATCGTCCATTGAAGCACACCAACGACGCCGCGCAATTATTTCCACGGGAAATCATCGGAAATTCTTCAAGGAAACGGATGCTTGTTGTCGAACAATGGACATAAAAGATAGCAGCGACGAAGAAGAAATACATAACATTTCAGCATTTACGAAATTCGACGAAAGCATCGAGGTACGAAACGCAGAGGAGATACAGAGCCCAGTAAATCGTAGACCATCCAGTTCGAGAAGAACCAGACAACATCCGGTGAACGAGAGCAGCAATGCTGGAAGAATAAATTCTCCTCGTGAGAAGTTCAATTTTCGAAAGCAAGTATGATAATTCTACGTCATTGTAATATGGCATTTTAAGATAGAAAATTGTTTCTAGATACTCGGATAATGATAACAGCTTTGGGAAATCCATGGGAATCCACAGTGATCCATCAGACAGTGAAGAGAACGATGACGATGATATCCAAGGAATGAGCAATGCCCAACACGTTGAGATTTATAATCCTAAAGATTTCGAAGATTTAGATGTATCTACGGAGGTGAAGGAATTGTTTCAAAACATAATGAGGTACCTTCGATCATTTTCCTTTACTTATCTGATCTTCTTAAGCTCGATCTAAAGACTTTCTCTTCCTCGGTCGAGGTAGAACTTTCATACTTTCTGTAGGATACTAATTAAAAAAGAAATATAAACGTGAATGTAAAATAAAATAATTTCTTTTGGGTCCTGACACTGTCGGAATTTCTATGTATTTTTAGAATTCTAGAAATCTTTTTGTCACATGTAATATTTAGAATATAATATTACTTTCTTTTTCTTTTGACATAGAATTCTTTGCACTTATAATATTATTTATATTATATCAAAAATATTATATACGATATATTACGTATACTTAACTCTCTCATCAGGTACACTCCACAAAAGATCGATCTGAATTACAAACTCATACCGTTCATTCCCGGCTATATCCCAGCAGTGGGTGATATAGACGCCTTCATAAAAATCCCACGACCAGACGGTGTGGAGGATAAGATTGGTTTAACAGTTTTGGACGAGCCCTGCACCAATCAATCCGACCCGGCTGTGCTTCATCTTCAATTACGCAGCCATTTACGAAGTGCAGGGGCTGCCAGACAAACGGTGATAAAGAGGATCGAGGATGCTGAAAAAAATGGGAAGTCCATCGATAAGTGGATAGAGGATATAAACCAGCTTCACAGGAGTAAGCATCCGCCAGCTGTTAATTTAAAAAAACCCATGCCGGACATAGACTTGTTACTTCAACAATGGCCAGCGGAAGTTGAAGAGAAGCTCAACGAAACTGAATTAGACTTCACGCAGTTGGATTGTCAACTGCCAGAACTGGTCGACATCGTTTCCAATCTTCTGGACATCCCATCGGA